TAACAGGCCGACATTTCTGAGGACGCTTTTGGAGCACCGCAGCCGTTGTTTTCTGCGTGGAGAATTTATGCGATATCGACGACTACTATGTGTCTGGAAGTAGAGTGAAGAAGAGCTGAAGTCGTCCTTTTTGACGACGGCTGCAGCGGGAATCCCTTCATTAGTGGAGCACACACATGCACACACACACATTTGAAAGGCACTGGATGGCCTATGCTCTCGCTCTTTCAGTAATCGTCGTTGGCCCACTGCTCTAATTAGTTGGAATCTAAATGAGCAAAACACACATACACACACTTACAGCCAGGCAGACAAAAAGTACAGACATACAGAGACACAGGGTGAAAAACTGACGCCATCGGCGACACAGTGAGGAGGACAGTGAGCAGTCCATCTGAGCAGTGGCAGTTGATCAGCTTACCACACTGCACAATTGAGCCCTTTTCCCCTTCCTCTCCTCCTCCTCCTCCTCCTCCCTTACCTTTACTTCTTCATCTTAAAGAGCTTCTGAAATCGACAGCGACACGACACCGACAACTCAGTGGTCGACAACGGGCACCGGCTCAATTCCTCCCAAATAGTGTGCCTGCAGGGCAAACTTCTCCTTCTCCTTCTTCTTCTTTCTCCTTTCTTGATCTTGCGGTTGTGTCATTGCCACTACCGAGCATACAAACACTCAGACAGGCAGACAGACAATTGCAATCGAACACTGCAAACCGTTAAGCGTAGCCGTTATGCGGCAAATGCGATCGTTAGTCTCGATCTTAGAGTTAGACTCTATCTCCTCTTAATCGCAGCAGCTAAAGTGTAAGGGCACTTTATCATCATCGGTGGCGGTGGCTGCAGCAGCTACTGCAGTGCAAAGTAGCAGGTATAGCCAGACAACTTTGAAGAAGAAGAAGAAGAAGAAGAAAAGAAGTGAGAACAGAGAAAGAGTAAAAGAGCTCAAAGACTTTGAGTTCAAACAAAGGAGAAAAAAGAAAAACGGAGTAAGAAAGAGAGAGAGAGAGAGAGAGAAAAAAAACTGAGGAACGGCAATGAACGGCGACGGTTGCTCTAATGCTAATGCGACAATGCGCTCTATTCAACAACATCAACAGAAGAACAGAAGGGAAAACGAAGAAGAAGATAAAAAGAAGACACACTAACTCAACTGGCGAGTAACTGCACTTCATCACCAAGCGACCCGAATCTACTGCCGAACAGTTGTACTGCTGGTGGTGGTGGTTGCAGACAGACAAGTGCATCGCCACAATTCGCCAGCGGCGCCTGCAACTCCTTCACTAGCAGCAGCAGCTCCAGCAGGACAGCAAACTCTTGGGTGCTCATTATGCTCGCATTAATGTCACTAATTGGCTCTGGCATTCGGTCTGCTGCTGCTATTGCTGAAAAGGCACTGGAGCGCTGGTGCTGCTGATGCTGATGCCACCAACGCCGTTTTGCGCACGAGATGATAGTCGGTGCTAGTGAAGTTGGTGCTGCTGCTGATGAAGGAAAAGAAGAAGAGTAGTGAACATGCCGTAGTTAAGTGGTAAATAGTGCTACTGACAAACAGAAAAGGAGGAAGAAAAAGAAGAAGTAAAAAGGAGAATAAGATAAAGAGTGAAGAATGCAATTTAGAAATAGTAAATGGGCCAAAGCGAATCTGCTGTCTTTTGAAAGTAGTAGCTGTAGCCGCTCTCAGTCTACTACTACTGAATTGCTGCTGCTGCTGCTGCCACTTCCACTGCAAATTCCATTGCAAATGTCCACTCATCTTTTTTTGGGGCTGACTGTCACTGGCTGCGAGGCGTCAATTGGTCGTGTTCAATTCGCGCGGCAATCTAACTCTGCTCTCCATCATCGGTGTCGTCGGTGGATGATGGCCACCAACGACACCGATGATGTCCAGCAGAAAACAACGGAGGCAAATGCCTTTGAACAGAGCAGCGGCATTCTCATCTTTCTCACTTTTTTCAGGCACAAAACGAATGCCAATTTTCCTCGGTCGTGTTCTCTGCTATTCGCTAAACTAGCCAACACTACAGCTACAACTACTTCCACAGGCATTCTTCTTCCATTTCCTCCATTTCATGACAAAAGTCGCACTCCTGTATTGTATTGTCGCACTCACTTTTTCTTTCTCGGCTGGCAATCATCAACCATCGACCACACATTCAGTCATTGAGCAGTTAGTCACAAAGTTTCGCAATGGCCACTGGCTAAATTGAGATGTTTTCACCGGGAGATGATGCAGTTGCAGTAGCAGTGTACAATGTGCAGTAGCCGATTGAGAGAGACTGAACATCGTTCGACGACAGACAAACATTCAGCATGCACACAGACACATTCACATCAACTCGTCAGTGTCTATTGATTTGCCTGCGTACATTAACTTCCATCGATCTGCAGAACAACAGTTACTGAAGCCATCACCACCGCCACCACCACTTACTATCGATGTCCAACTGGCCACAGCCGACAAAAGAGAGGGGGAAGGGAAGATTGCTTCGGGGCAATAATATTATACAGAGACAAACAAAAAGAGCGAAAGAGAGCTCAATTCTCGATGACTGAGGCCTGCACTTCACTGACTGAGTACTCGAGCACCACTGCTGCCACTTCCGAGTCCGGACTGACTGCGCTTAGCTAGCCATTATTTAATTAGCTAGTGTGGTAGAGAATTAAATGAGTCCGTAAGTGATGTTAATAGTGGTGGTGGTGATGTTTTTCGGCGGTGATGGTGAAGAAGAGACACCAACTAATGAGAGTTTAAATTAGTGGTGAGAATTTTTCCCAAATCGAGAGAGTAGTAGGGAAAGAAAGAAGAGCACTACAGTGCTGCTGACCAACGGTGGACTTTTCACTTTCAGATCAACTCACCAGACCAACTTGTCGTCGGTGTGGCATCAACGACCTTTCTTCAGTCTTTGGCTAAGCAGTAGAGGCACTACTACCACCATCACCACCACCACCGTCTGACCCGTCTTCGTCGACTGGTCGTCGTGGTCGCATCAAAAGGAGGTCAGCTGCTGCAACAGCATCAGCATCATCAACAGTCTACGACCGCATCTCTCGCTAATGCAGGCGCCACCGGCTCGGGCAGAGAGTTGCTGCTGCTGCTGCCGTCTTCGTAGTAGGCTCTTGCATTTAGGTCAATCACGTCACTCTCATGCCGCTGGACACTGGCGGCGAATTTTTGCAAAAGCTGCTCACCACCGCCACCACCGCCACCGCCACCTCTACCATTACCAAACCGAGGCACTCGTGTCCATTATCGTATGCCATCTTTGCTGATAGCACACATACACCGAGTGAATGAATGAATGAGTGAGAGAGAGAAGTTGATGTGAGAGGCGAAAGTCACCGTCACCTCAGTCAGTCCGTCACCAGTGGTCACCAGAGACTGAACAGGTAGTGTACTGAAAGAAAGAGAGAGAGAGCAGTACCGATCGCCTTTTTCCCCACGCTCAGATCGGCACCTGATGACGAGTGACTCGTCTTGGAGAGAGCGTCCGTCGGATTGCAGTACACATAGTTCGCACAGTCATCTCCCCACTACAAAATCTCCTTCTCCCTTTCCCCCCTTTGCCTGCTTCCTCTGCACGTCCACACTACAACTCTACAGCTGTGTTCCCGTGTCTGTCGGGCAGTTTGGCATTTATGGCGCCATTTGCCGATGCCTCGCATTGCCATTTCGGATGCCCAGAGCGATGCTGAGCAGTGGATTGCAATTGCACAGTTGTTGCCGCAGCAGTTGTTAATCGAAGCAACAAAGCAACTAATTTGTTCGCTCCTACTTGCCCACCACCACCACCACTTGCCGCATTTCTCCCCTTCCTCCTTTCCTTTCCTTCCTTCCTCTCCACCGAGTATGTGCGCATTCAAATGACCGCCGCCGCCGCCGTGTGTTCGATCAATGGTAAAATTTCCGTATTTTTATAAATAACCACTCACTCTCACACAGATGGATGGATGGATGTAGGGATGGAGGAAAGGATGGACAGCCTGACTGCCTGCCTGCCTGCCTGACAGACTACTAAAGTCCACTCCAACTCCAACAACTCGCTGGAGTCGTCGCCAAAGTAATTTGATCAAATGCACACACAAACACACAAACATAACAGAGAGGGAGCGCGTCTTTTTTTCTCCAGTCGCTGACTGACTGTGATTCGCCGACTGATGCGGACAAGAGGGCCATAAGGAGAATTCAGAGGCAGATGCTACTGCTGCTGCTGATGCCCATCGTCCATCGACAATGCACCAGCACTAGCAACGACAATAATAGCAGAGTGTGCGAAGCAGAGTACACAAACAGACAAAACAGTCCGTCGATGGCACACAATCGCCAATCTCAGGCAGACGATGCCTCCTTACTTGTCTGCCCAATTGGCCGCCTCACCAGTGCCAATTTTATACTCCTTTTTGTACTGCTTTTTTTATTGCCCTCTCGTAACTTACACGGCCGTCGCCGCCACTGCCACTGCTACTGCTTCTGCTGAAGCTGAAGTTTGAAGCAGAGTACACGACAAGTGCCGATCATCGTCAGTGCTAGTGCTGCTGACGGTGTGCATCGACTGTGCGAGAGATATTGCGCGCCAATTAGCGTGTCAATGGCTAAAGTAAAGTCAGACAAAGAAGAAGAAGAAGAAGAGTGGGATAAACAGACATGTACAAACATACACACACAAACATACATACATCAAAACATGGAGAAAGATAACAGCAAAGAAAGAAAGAAAGAAAAGAGTGCACAAAGTCCACTGAGAAAAAGTGGAGTTTCTTTGGCGGCGGCGGCAGCTTTGTCCTGTTCGGTAGTGGTTCACGTACTCTGCGAATACCCCACAAGTTTGCTCTCAGCTGCGTTGCCTGTGTTGTTGCCTCAAATCACATGTCAACTTGGTAAACAGAAAACTTGACTCGACGTTTTGATTGCCTTGCACCATCACCATCATCATCATCTTTCAGCGCAATTACCCGTGGTTCCAGTAGATTGATTGGAGCAAATCTTCATCGTCAGCATGTCGCATCAGCACGTCAGCTCGTCGCATCGCCCGCTCGGTGCAGTTCCGGTGAAGAATGAAAAGGGCGCAATGACGATGCAAAAGGTAAAAGTGCAGCGATACATCTCCGGTAGAAGGTAAGTCTTTCTAACATGGGGAGCATCTTTTTAAATTACTAATCGAGTGCTATTTGTTTTTGCGCAGGCCGGAGTATGCAAATGAGCGATCAGGCTCTTCAGAGGAGGAAGAGTCGGACAATGAGATGGACATACGTTCACGACAGCCTTTACCGGGAATCACAAATCAACGAGGGCAATTAGCTTTTGCTTTACCGAGAAAAGGCGGTAAAGATGGCAAAGATAGTGATGAAGAAGAGGAAGAGGAAAAAGAGGAGGAGGAGGAGGAGGAAGACTCCGATGATGATGTTCGCATGCAAGCAAGAAGGAATCGAGAGACGGTAAAGGTGGATCCAAAGAAGCTGGACAGTGACCCACGGATGCGCCGTATAATGCAAACACACAGACAGCTGGACAGTGACGATGAGGAGGACTTACCGCGTAGATCTCGTGGTGAGGCCAGCCACTCGCGACGACCTGTTGAAAAGCCGCAAATTCTCAACTCCACCAGTCAGGATTCAGAGGGGAGTGAAGACGAGGACGGCGACGTGGTTCGCAGACGGCGGCGAGAGCGTGAGGTGATTGACGCCGAGGCAATTGACGATGACGAGGCGGCTGAAGAGGAAAACATTGAGCGGAGACACGAGCTGATCAAGCAGCGAATCGCTCAGCTGGAGATTGCCCAGCAACAACATCGTCAAAGTGGTGCAGCCGATGACGATGCGGGGGATGATGACGAGGACGAGGCGGCGGAGGAGGATGAAGAGGATGAAGAATCCGAGTACGAGGAGTTCTCCGACTCTGAAGACGAGGGCATGCCCCGACTGAAACCGATCTTCGTCTCGAAGAAGGACCGCATCACGATCATCGAGAAAGAGGNGGGGATGATGACGAGGACGAGGCGGCGGAGGAGGATGAAGAGGATGAAGACTCCGAGTACGAGGAGTTCTCCGATTCTGAGGACGAGGGCATGCCCCGACTGAAGCCGATCTTCGTCTCGAAGAAGGACCGCATCACGATCATCGAGAAGGAGGAAGAGGAGGAGCGCCGACTGGCGGCCGCCGAGGCGGAGAAGAAGCTGGTCGCCGAGCAGCGCCGCCGGGCGACGATGAAGCTGGTGGAGGATGAGCGCCGCCGCGAGGAGGAGGAGGAGGCGCAGGCGCGGGCGGCCGCCGAGGAGGAGGCCATCATCAAGGGCATCGCCGCCCTACTGACCGACGACGAGGACGAGGAGACGGGCTTTGAGCTGTGGAAGGTGCGCGAGCTGAAGAGGATCAAGCGGGAGAAGGAGGAGGAGGAGGCCCGCGAGAAGGAACGAGCTGAGATTGAACGGCTGCGCAACATGACCGAGGAGGAGCGCCAGGCGGAGCTGGAGGCCAACCCGCGGCAGATCACCAACAAGGCGGAGAAGGGCAAGTACAAGTTCATGCAGAAGTACTACCACCGCGGCGTCTTCTACCTGGACGAGGAGGCGCCCGTGCTGAAGCGCGACACTGCCCAGCCGACGCTGGAGGACCACTTCGACAAGACGGTCCTCCCCTCGGTGATGCAGGTGAAGAACTTTGGCCGGGCGGGGCGCACCAAGTACACCCACCTGGTGGACCAGGACACCACCGCCTTTGACCACGCCTGGGGTGATAAGAACAACAGCGGCGCCATCAAGTACCACTCGTCGCACGGCGGCGGCATGAAGCAGGTCTTTGAGCGGCCGGGCAAGCGAAAGAAGCCCGAGCAGTAGAGGAGGGAGGGTAATCAACTCTTAAAGTAAAGTGATCAACCCGCAAATGTACATAAAAGCCATGATATTTTGACATTTAGTCAACTTTACTCATTTTACAAATCAATTTTTCGCTCAACACAAAAAGTATAAAATAAACGCAAATCATACCGTCATCTCACTGTTTTATCGCCTTCCAAAATTCAGTCGTCTTGCTGTGATTTTAGAGCTGGTAGATGAGTCGATTGCCGAGATCAACAGTCTTCCCATCGGCTTCCACCAGCGAGACAGTCTTTGCCTGTAGGTCCACCGCCAAGGTGGAGGCCGGGTCGACGGCCACCTGCAGCTTCTCAAAGGTCTCCGGCGAGGGAAAGGTCCTGGGGCCCATCACCGGGTCAGCGTACCGGCTGAAGGTCACCTTGGAGGTGTCTGCAATGTTCATTCCAGATTAAATTTGATACAATTCAATCACTACGTTCAAAACAAAAACCGTCTTACCCTTATCCATTCTCAGCTCTTTGAGAATTCGTCCCGCCAGATTGGCCACCGAATCATCGGGGTAAACGGGCATGGCNCCATCACCGGGTCAGCGTACCGGCTGAAGGTCACCTTGGAGGTGTCTGCAATGTTCATTCCAGATTAAATTTGATACAATTNCGAGTCATCAGGGTAGACGGGCATGGACAGCTCAAAAGCGGCCTTCAGCGGCTGCTGGTTGATGCACAGCAGCGGCGTCGACTGCTCCACCCGGTACACGATGAAGGGCTCCTGGGGACAGCAGTCCTCCTGAATGCGGGCGTCCGCCTCATCGGCGTACTTGAACTCAATGCCCACCAGGTCGAGGGTGGCCACCAGGTAGTCGCTCTTCGAGGTGAGCACCTGCATCTCGTCAAAGGGCGCCGTGTCCTCAAAGACCTCCTCGCCGGAGGTGAGGAACATTTTCTGCGGGGAAGAAAGACAATTTTAGAGCTCCTGTAAGTTCAACACCAATCCTCCCACCAACCTTTCTCATCTCCGCAAAGGGCATCACCTTCTTCATGTACTTCTTCAGGTCGGCAATCTTGCCCAGCTTGGCGGCGATGACGTTGTTCTCGGGCAGCGTGCGATTGTTTTCCTACAAAACAAAACAAAATGATTAGAAATCTGCAGTCCATTTCCATTGCACCACCACCACTACTTACCGCAAACATCGCCTTGAGCGTGGTGAGAATGATGGACTGCCACTTGGGAAAGGTGCGCGCCACGTAGACGGTGCCGTGCGTCGGCTTGGCCACTGCTGCTGCCGGTTTACCCTTGACGCTCTTGCCGGCCACCACCAGGTAGTTCTTGTAGCGCACGCGAAAGGAGTGACACGCCTCAAAGAAGTAGTTGAAGCTCTGAATGATGCTCCGATCGGGCGTGCCCGAGGCAGGCCAGGGGGCGCTCTGGACGGTGCCTTCCTTCCTGCCCAGCACATCGCGGACGATGTGCTCCGCCGTGTGCGGACAGATGGGCGCCAGCATCACTGCCTGCGCCTCAATGAAGCGCAGCAGCAGGCCGCGGTGCATGCCGGTGCGGGCGCTCAGCTCGCGGTACTTGTCGCGGGCGTCTTGAAACTCAAAGAAGCCGCTTTTCAGCGCCTCCTTAAAGAGCAGCCCGCTGTAGTGGGCGTCGGTGCGCTGAATCAGTTCGTCCATCAGACTGCTAAAGGCGCGATCCTCAAAGCTGCTCAGCGGCTCCGCCTCGCTGCGGTACGCTTCCGGTGGGCCCTCCACCACCTCCTTCGCCCAGCTGATAAAGGCGTGCAGCTTCAGCATGCCATTCTCCGCCTGCTTCTCAATAAAGTTGGCGTCCTCGACGCCATCTCCCGCGTCAGCCAGAGCAAAGCGAACCCCGTCGGCGGAGTAGCGCTCAATCGCCTCGGCGAGCGTCAAAAAGTTGCCCGTCGACTTGGACATCTTCTCGTTGTTGAGGAGGAGGTGGCCGTTGGCGCGGACGCTGCGCGGCCAGTACTGCGGCATGCCCGGCCACATGGCCGTGTGATTGTAGAGCATGTAGGTGAGGTGATTCGGCACCAGGTCCTTCCCGGAGACGCGCAGGTCCAGCGGGTACCAGTACTCAAACTCACGCTTGAGAATGTCCAACTTCTCCCGGGGGATGGTGCTGTCCGCCGGCGGCGGGGCGTTCGGGAAGAAGACGTAGTCCCAGACGGCGGGCGTCATCTGCTCGGCGGCGATGCCCAGCGGCGAACACTCGCCCTGCCCGTTGAGCTTCCCGCCCTGCAGGTGGTGGACGACGGTGTAGTAGGCCATGTAGATCGTCGAATCGGAGAGCGACTCAATGAGCCACTCCTCCGCCCAGGGCAGGCGACTGCCCAGGCCGTACTGCCGACTGCAGGCGTGGCCCTTCAGCCAGCCCAGTGTCACCTTGAAGTTCTTCCGCACCTCGTCGGTGTACGTCTCCAGTTGGTCCAGCGCCTTGGTGGTCTCCGCCAGCCAACCCGCCTCGCCGTAGTCGAGGAACCACTGGTCGCAGAGGGCGACGACGCACTCATCCCCGGATCGGGAGATGACCGTCTTCTCCGGCTCCATGTACTTGACCGCCTGTCCGCTGGAGCGCAGCATCTCCTGGATTATGGGCTTCACCTCAGAGACCTTTTTGCCGTTGTGCTCACCGACGAGCATGACACCCTCGTAGAAGCCCGAAAGGTAGACCTTGGCCTTCGCCTGCGCCAGCTTCTCCGTGTCATTCTGGCTCTTGATCTTGAACTCCTCGCAGACGGCCACCGCAGAGAGGTTGCCGTACTCGGGAATCTCAATGATGGGAACCTGAAATGAGAAATGGGTTAGAAATAAGAAAAGCAAAAGAGAGGATCTCAAATGATTACCGGATCAAAGGGCAGCACCGCCTCATCAGGCAGGCCGTACTTCGACCGTAGCGCCTCCTTGTTCTTCAGGTCCATCAGTGCGGCGTAGTCGTCCGGCGAGTCGGAGGGCACACTGGTGACCACCCCGGTGCCCTTGTCGTCCTTGATGGTGAGCATCGGCAGTGCGTAGACGACCTCGTATTTGGAGAGGGGCGCCCTCAGCCGGGCGCCAATCAGTTCGCTGCCCTCAATCTCCGCCAGCACCTCGTACTGGCCAAACTCCGTCGTCAGGCCCTGGTAGGCGGCGTTCAGGGCGGACCGTCGCGTGGAGATGAACACCTCGCCGTCGACCTTCGTCTGGTAGGCAATGTAGCGCATGTCCGGCTTCAGCCAGCAGTTCGTCTGCCCGTACATCGTCTCCGGGCGCAGGGTGGCCGCCACCAGGAAGACCCGGTCGCCGTCCTTGAGCACGCCGCCACCGGCGAGGCTCTTCACCGTGGCCGCCGGCTCCAGGAGCTCAATCTTGATCAGCGTGTACTCTTGCGGCTCGACGCCCTCGCCGGAGGAGCGGTCGTGGTCCATGCAAGGCTGGCTGTCCTTGGGCGAGTAGATGGAGTACCGCTTGCCAAAATCGATCTTGTTGCGCTCCTTCAGGTGCTTAAACTGCCATCGGACAAAGGAGTCGTAGTAGGGATTGATGTCGGTGGTGATGAACGACCGACGCCAGTCGGCACGAAGGCCAAACTTGCGCAGGTCCTCCTGCCACTTCTCGGGAAAGTAGGTCAGCCAGTGATTGGCGTCGATGAAATCCTTGATCTCCTCGTCCTCCAGGCCGAGGGAGCGCATAATCTGCCACTGGAACTTGGCCGTGCCCGCCTTGGCGATCAGTTTGCTCTTCTTACTCTTTGACTTGTCCTTGATTACAAGCTCAGTGGGCGCCTCTTCCTTCTTCGAGGCGGTCCCTTCATCGTCTTCGGGAAAGACCGGCGGGTAGCCGTACATTTCCACCTCACGCTTCAGCTTATCAGCACAAGCCTTGATGGGCGTCCCGGTGCAGTGGAAGCCGAATGGCAGCAGGCACCGCTTGCCCTTCAGGCGAAAGTATCCAATGGTGAACTGTTGATGAATAAAACAGATTAGATTGAAGCCTTGTCACAGCAAAAGTGTGTGCACAGAAATGTGTTTACCTCCAGTTTGGAAAGCGAAAAGGTATGGCCAATGTGGCATCGTCCATTCATGTAAGGGTAGGGAAAGGTGGCCAGGTACTTGCCGGCATCAGTGGTGGCGTCCGTCGAGCCAGCCGCCGGCGGATCCACCTCAAAAACCTTCTCCTCGGCCCACTTTGCCTGCACCTCCTTCTCCAGGTTGACAAAGTACGTCAACTTGGCAGTACTCTTCGCGCCAGTCGCCTCCGCAGTGGCCATCTTTTCAGGGTGGTGTCGTGTGTCGGTGTTGTTTGTGTAGTTGGAGCTACAATTCACGACGACAAACGGAGCTGATAAGGATGGGAGAGAGAGAGAGAGAGACAAGAAACCAGAAAATGCAGACCGGCTTTGGAAGCAGAAGAAACAACGGCCAAACAGAGAGCGTGGAAGAAAGAAACTGTCACTACACGTGGAAAGAGCAACACTGCCTTTCTTGGCTGCAGCTGCTGCAATTTCAGGCCAGAAGCATGCAATGATTGTGCGGCGTCGCGATCAGCGCCGGTTGCCGAACGCAGCGGTGACACCTGCTAGACGATACTAAAAACTGAAGCCAGAACTGGCGCCATTCGGAGAGATTATCTCTAGATACAGCAATCGATTTACCATACGATTCTAATACTGTAGAAAGAAATAAAAAGTGTTTCTAAAATTTTTACATTTAGAAGTGGTTACTTTCAATTAGAAATACCAAAATCAAAGTGTTAAGCAAGTTGCAAAGCACCAAAACTCTAATCTAAAAACTGATCTAATCTGCAAAACCCTTCATACTCCTACTCAAGTGACAAGAAGACGGGCAACTTAAATTCATTTTTAGAAAAAAAGACACAAAAATTGGAAAATCGATTTCTCAACAGCTCTTCTCCCTTTGTTGTACTCGCATTGCGTGCCGATCATCATCAACTTCCGATTAGCACTTGGGACAACACTGCAGTTGTACTGCTGTACTGTTTCTCTCTTCTCCAGTTCAAGGTTTCGGGTTTAGTGTGCGTTTTTCAAAACTCTACTTTTTAAGGGGAGCCATTTTTGAGGGAAAGTGGGCTTCCCTGCGCAATACATTTGTACATCAAAATGGTCATTTTTTCGGTACACATTTCTCAGCAACCACACATTGGATTAAGATACTGTAAAAAGCAAAATGTAGATAAAAATGTAATCTTTATTTTAGTCGATCGCAAAATAGGTTGAACAATATTATTTTTAGTGATTATCAAGTTTTCAAGTAACAATGCATTTGTCACTTTTAAAATCATACAAGAAAATTTTTTAAATTTTTTTGCAATCGACTAAAATAAAGATTACATTCTTGCCTTCATTTTGCTTTTTACAGCATCTTAATCCAATAAGAGGTTGCTGAGAAATGTGTACCGAAAAAATGACAATTCTTGAATCATTCAGCGAGATGTTTACATGGATGTTTTAGGGCACAAAAGGGCCATTCATGCAATAGTACGTCCTGAGAATTTCATGTTGTTGGCAAACCTGTGGTTGGTTGTGGCTGTGCTAGCGGCTGCACTCTCAGGGCAGCTTAGAGTCACTCATACACACTGTGATTTTTTCACGCTGACGATTTTTTGTGTGAACGCAGGGAAGCCCACTTTCCCTCAAAAATGGCTCCCCTTAAACTTTTTTTGTCGTACAGCAACCATCGTCACTTTATTCTCTCTCTGAACGGTTCAATTGCAGTACAGTTTGAGTGGTAGTGCAAATGTGTGCAAGAAAGTGTCTCTGTGTGTGTTCAAGCTGCCAGAATGAACAACAACAAGAAAAGGCAAATGGCAACTAAAAGTAACAGTGTATAGAAAAAAGAGGAAGGCAAAAAAAGAGAGATAGGATCATCCAAAGTTTGAAAGCATTTTGGTGTTGGAGGGAGGAGGCGTGAAGGAGGAAAAGAAGCAGTTGTGTATTGCAGAGGTGTTGGTGAAAAAAGAAAAAAATAGTAACGTGTGAGAATTGAAAAAAGGGAGCAAGAGTGAGTAGACAAACAAGAACAAGAAGAAGAACAACAACGGTGAGCGGGTCGGAGCGGGGGAATGTCCGTTGCCCATGCTTGCAATGCTTTGATCAATATGTTTGAGTGACTGGAGGGTGAGTGAGTGAGGTGAGGGTGAGGGTGATAGCGGTAAAATGGTGAAAATCGTCGTGGAATGACACAAAAATGGCAGTGAGAAAGGATGATGACATTTGTTGTGTTTTTTGTTGCCTGAACGTGGGCTATTATGTTATTGCACTGGTTGACAATTATCCTTGTTCGCAGGACACGTTTTTGCCGACACACTGATTCTTTGGTCGACAGCAGCTTGTGTGGTTCAGACAGCTTGTGTGAATGCCAAATGGGAATTAATGAATGAAAAAGGCTGACCATCCCTGAATCAGTGACTGAATGAATGACTGAATGAATGAACTCGAGTTGTTCACGGCTTGAGTGCCCCATTGATGGTGACCATGATCTTGCGGCTGCCGGCGGTGTTTCGGTGCTCACACAGCCAGATGCCCTGCCAGGTGCCCAGACCGAGGCGGCCCTCGGTGATGGGCAGACTGAGGCTGGAGCCGATGAAGCAGGCTTTCACGTGCGCCGGCATGTCATCCGGGCCCTCGCAGGTGTGTCGAAAGGGCAGATTCTCGGGCACAAAAGAGGTGAGGAACATCTCCATGTCCTCGCGCACATCAGGGTCCCAGTTTTCATTCAGCGTCAGACTGGCCGAGGTGTGCATGACTGTTTAAAGGAAAAGTGGCAATTGTTAGAAAGATTCAGCAAAAGTAAACAAAACAGCAATCACTGAACTGTGCAGATGGCAGATGCCCACTTGAAACTGGCCAATCTCGGGAATCTGCTTGAGCACCTCATCGGTGACCAGGTGACAGCCTCGATGTACCGGCCTGAGGTTGACACGCCGCTGGAACCACCCCGTGCTAGAGCGAATTATACTGCCAGAAGCTGCGGAAGAGGTCGAGGAGGAGCCGGCTCGGGTGAGCGAGGATCGGTGGTGACGGTGGTGGGCTGAGGAGGAGTGACTGCCGTGGCCACCACCGCTTCCACCAGCCACTGGTCCTCCGCCAGCAACGGCTGAATCGACGGACTTTCCCGATGCCGAGCCATCTCCGGCTGTGGAAGTGGGCGACCCGGTGGCCGTTGGCTGATAGACTGAGGTTGAATGCTTTGATGAATTTGAGGCCATTGTGGGTGAATGTGTGAATGTGTGCACAGTAGGTAATTAGGAACTGAAGCAGGCGTTTCTGTTAACAAAAGATAACCTGGATAAAATTGAACGGCAAAAAGGCAATTAGCTAACACTTACAGTGGACAAGCGTGTTTTATGTGTGTGTTTCCACTTGAGAAAAGGTGGGCGTAAGGGTGCAATGTGCAAACACAGATAAACAGAGAGGAAGCTTAAAATAAGGTCTCAAAGCAATTAGGAAGAGGAGGATATGTGCTGAGTGTGTGAATGTGTTTTGGTTGAGAGTGCCTTTCACTGCTGCTGCTTCTGGTCGCAGACAATCGTCTTCACATGCTCACAGCAGACCACGACTTGCGACCATTGATTGCTTCGCTGCTGCTGCTTCTGTACAGTTGAGGCGGTTTGGTGTCTGCTTCTGCTGCTTCTGCTTTGGCTTCATCGAGTCGTTCTGACTGTGAAGCCATAAACAGACCACTGCCGCCGCCACCGCTGCTGATTCGGCTGACGATCGTTAATCAATGGGCAATTCGGGTGCCTTCTGAGCAATCGGCCTGGGTATTGACAATTGCAGGTGGTGGTGATGGGAAGGCAGGAGACGGACGGACGGAGAGGGGACAATCAGAGGGCAATAAAGGTAGATGGAAAGAAAAAGAAAAAGAACCGAAAGCAGTGGACAATTGACAGCAGCAGCAGCAGCAGTGCAATTGTAGGTGGCACAATAGTAATTCTGCAGCTGCCTGCCTCTCTGTGACAGTGAGTTGAATTCTGTGTGTGTGTGTGTCTTCTGTTGGACTGGATTCTGGCAGTGCTGTGTTTACCTCTCTCTCTACCTCTCCGCACTCTTCAATGTGAGTCGGTCGCTGGTGACCAGAACAGCAGTGGCTGAAGTGGCCCACTGCAGTGCTGCACAGCACCGCCGGTGGTAGTGGTGGACAGGATTGCCGGTAATGAACGAAGGCATCGATTTGTGAGATCTTCCTGCTAAGGCACTCCAATTGTACACCTGTCGTACAGTAGTAAGCTACACTTTTTTCATCTTTCCGGAATCGTTCAGGCCCGCATCAGTGCTTGGCATCAGCTTCAGAAGAAAGCATCGAAGCGGGGAAAGTAAAAACCCATGTAGAGCAGCAATAGGCGCTTCTTCACGGGTAACAATTAAAACTGCCACCCTCTGTTTGTCTCCGACTGTGAATAAACTGCTTGCAATTACTGTGATTAGGCAAACGATGACGAAACAAACTCCGGCTGAGTGATTGCACTGTTTGCAGATGCGCCCAGTCAGTCAGTGCCTTCTATTATTATCCCTGTTGACAGTGAAAAGTGAAAAAAGAAAATGAGCAACAGCCTTTATTACATAAGAGCTCATCATCTTCATCATCATCTGAGCTTCCGATGAGCAGCCGCTAATCTGATCGGCTCGAATGAGCTCCCCTTATCGGTGCGAAGAATGGACTAACAAAAACAACTTTAGAAGAAGAAGAGTATAAACACGATGACATAATAGCAACAGACATTTTTTCTGAAGACCACTGCTGACCAACAGATAAAGAACAGAAGAGAGGGTGGAGAGGAAAGTGCTTGTCCTTGAGGATGGGTATGACCAGTGAGGAGGGCACAGCCATAAGGGTGCAATCAATCAGTGTCTGAGTGGTCGGACTTTGTACAGTGGCTCGCTCTCACTGTACAGAGTCACTTTCGATTGCCGTCAGTCACTCGTGATTTGTGGTGGTACTGGTGGTGGTAATGCTGAGCCCATTGAGTACTCTTGAGCCGAGCCGAGCTGTAGATCTTCACACTGATTGGCTGTCACTGGCCAACTCTTTTTCACTCTCTGAACACAGGCACTACAGTTCCTTTCTTATTCAATAAAAGAATTTTTTGTTTCTTTGCACGTTTCCAAATTGGTAGTTACCTCTCCGCGTGGATTTCCTCCAGGCGCCAACTCTCTCCCAAACGAGTTTTCGCCTTCGAGGAAGCGAGGGGTGCAAAGGGAGAACACAAAATCGAAGAAGGTGTGCTGCAACAGCACTCACAGGCAAAAAAGAGGTGTCTACTGAACTGATAAGAAGTGATGATGGTGCTGCTGATGGCGGCGGTAGTCTTCAAATACACCTGACTTTGTACAGAGGACAGGCAGTTAGAGCTTGATTGCAGTCAGAACGCGCTTCGACAACATCACTGTCGAAGTTCTGGCAATAGATAATTTTGTGTAATTTTTTGTACTTAAAACTTCATCTGATCATCTTGATGCATCTTCTTAGCGCTGCGATACCCTTTCTCTTTCTCGGCCTGGCGCTAGGCCACGGCTACGGGGGCGGCGGGTACCGACAAAGTTCCGGTTATTCAAACTATGGTATGATTGAACCAAAAAGTGCACTTGATAACTTGATAACATTTTTTTAATCCATCAGACTGTGGCGGCACTTGCGGCGGCGGCTGCTCAACTGGTCACTGTGGTGGTGGCGGCGGCTCTTCCGGTCAGTACATTGAAACCTCGGGATCTTCAGGTTGCGACAGTGGAGATTGTGGCGGTGGTGGATCAAGCTACGGAAGTGGTGGCGGTGGCAGTTACCGTACCTCGCACAGCTCCTCCTCCCACGCCGGCTACCACAAGTCGACGAGGACGGTGGTGAAGGAGACGCGAAATGACGAGCTGAAGATCGTCATCGGCGCTCCCAAGCAGACCGTCCACCGGACGTCCTCGTACGTGGAGGCGGCGCCGGTCATTCGCAGGACAACGTACATTGAGCCCGCCCCAGTGGTCATCAAGAAGACCTACATCGAACCGGCTCCAGTGGTGATCAAGAAGACGTACATCAGCGAGCCGGTGCACAAAACGGTGCGCTACGTGGACAGCTACGGAGATGGTGGCTGCAGTGGACNATCGTCATCGGCGCTCCCAAGCAGACCGTCCACCGGACGTCCTCGTACGTAGAGGCGGCGCCGGTCATTCGCAGGACAACGTACATTGAGCCCGCCCCAGTGGTCATCAAGAAGACCTACATCGAACCGGCTCCAGTGGTGATCAAGAAGACGTACATCAGCGAGCCGGTGCACAAAACGGTGCGCTACGTGGACAGCTACGGAGATGGTGGCTGCAGTGGACCCTGCGGTGGCTCAAAGATCGTCAAGGTCATCAAGAAGACAACCTACGCGGATGATGGTAAGTTTCCTGGAAAGCAGTTCTACAACTGATAACTTAATCCCTCTTTCTTTTCAGGTTACAGCAATGGAGGCTCGTGCAGCAGCTGCGACTACTCCAGCGGCGACGTTGAGTACGCGCCGGTGGTGACGAAGAAGGTGACGCGGATCATCAGCCAGCCAAAGGTGGTCACCACGAGGGTGGTCAAAACGAGGGTCGTCGATCAGCCTTNCCCTGCGGTGGCTCAAAGATCGTCAAGGTCATCAAGAAGACAACCTACGCAGATGATGGTAAGTCTCCAGAAAAGCAGTTCTACAACTGATAACTTAATCCCTCTTTCTTTTCAGGTTACAGCAATGGAGGCTCGTGCAGCAGCTGCGACTACTCCAGCGGCGACGTTGAGTACGCGCCGGTGGTGACGAAGAAGGTGACGCGGATCATCAGCCAGCCAAAGGTGGTCACCACGAGGGTGGTCAAAACGAGGGTCGTCGATCAGCCTTCCGGCGAGTTCTACGAAGACTCGGGACCTTCTTATGGAAGTGGTGGTGGCAGCTACGGTGGCGGCTCCAAGGCTTTTGCTTTTGCCAGTGCTGGCGCAGGCGGTGGATCATATGGATCAGGTGGTGGCGGTGGTGGTGGCAGTGGTGGTGGCTGCCGAAGTGGCTGTGATGAGTGGAAGAAGAAGAAATGATAGCGATCAAGCAAGCAAGCTCGAACCTTTTTCCCCCTTGTAATCTTCAACGGTTGTGTAATAAATGATTTCTATTTTTGCCATCCGCTCTATCGGCGTTTACCTCCTCACACTCTGTCCATTACGTGACCAGACTTTGCACTCTCTCCGTTTCTTCTTGCTAATCAGATCTTGTCAATCTACAGCCATCTATCAGCATCTCGTCAGCCAGTGTTGTGTGTAATACAGGTAGTGGTCGTTCAGAGTGTCGCCAAAAGTGCGCGGAATTACCACATCTATCTAATCATCGAGCTGACTGCTAATGAACACAGGGCACACAGCAACAGCAGAAGTCGATTGGAAAACTGGCCCTCAAGCAGTGTCTTCTAATCGATTGAAAGTGAAATTGTAATCCATCTGATTGATATGAGATCTGTAATGAAGTGGAAAATGCCGTCAGTCAGAAATGATAACAAGGACAACAACGAGAAGAAGGCAGTAATTACCAGTCAGCTGGTCAAGCAGGCACAAAAGGAGAAAAGTTGACAACTTTAAAGGAGAGAGAGCCTTCATGAGGAGGAAGACAATTTCAGCAGTTATGACTCATTGGACAAGACAAAAGGCAGGGCAGACATCACTTGCGCTTTCTGGGGAAAGAGATGAGAACAGATGAGCATTAGTGACAGTGTGACAAGGATGATGACAAGTTGATGATGAGGAGCAAGTGGAAGACAAGGAAACAATGAGCAGCACATCATTACACAAACACAAGACCTGAAATTGGTAAAAAGAGAATGCATTTATTAGGAATGGAAAGTAGTAGTGGTGGTACAATTTTGGAAGATTGGAAAAAAGTGCTATTGGAATAATTTACGATCAAAGGAGAATGTCTAACTGGGTTTTGTAGCCTGGGTGATTGGTACTGCGGTCNTTATTAGGAATGGAAAGTAGTAGTGGTGGTACAATTTTGGAAGATTGGAAGAAAAAAGTGCTATTGGAATAATTTACGATCAAAGGAGAATGTCTAACTGGGTATTGTAGCCTGGGTGATTGGTACTGCGGTTGGTGGTGGTGGGTTG